CACAAGAGCAGAATAAAGAATCTGTTTTACCTTTGAAGTTTCTAAGGTGGATCCGCTAAGGAGGAAAATACCTAGTAAATGCAGTACAGTACAATATTTGTAGTGTTTCTGTCTGGTAGTACCCTAAAAAGCCTTCCTTGGTTTATATTAAGTCCTTTGATGTGTCTGCCTAGCATGTGTATATATTTTATCTCAGCCATTTTCCTCTGGATTCTATAGTGTTTTTTTTTTCTAGAATGGTCACTTTTAAATCTATGTTGAATGTCCTAGTAAACTAAAATGATGTGAAATGGATTTCTGTGTATGACCACTCTTTTCCAGTGGGGTTTTTCTTTGAACACATGATTAATTTGGTGCTGTCTGGCAGAATATGGAGAAAGCGTGTTTTCATCCTTTTGGACCAGATGTAGGCTACAACGTGCAGCCTTCCAGATGTTGGACTGCTGTCTGTGCCAGCTAGGGATGATGGGGTTCCTGGCCAATAACATCTGGAAGATCATGTTTTACTTACTCCTATCTTAGACAGAGCTTTCTTGGGGGATGTATTCAAAGCAAGAGAAAAAATTAACTCTATTCTATTATCACCAGACAGTTCCAGAGTATCTTTTTCTTCTCCCTCCATTATATAAACTGTAAAGAGATGGCTGTTGCTAGATTCTGTGAGTTTAATTGTGTCTAAAAATGTTTATCAGACAAAAAACAAACACAAAAGGCAATATATTGTGGTACAGTACCTTAAAGACTAGGTAACTACAATATTTTAATGTGAGTTTTCATAGATCCTTTTGTTTGTTTTTATTTTGATTTGTGTGTTTGTTTGTTTTTGCCTGATATGCTTGGGCAAACTAACATGGCTACTTATTCAAAAACAATTTTAAAAATGTTATAATTGAGGGGGGAGGGTGATGCCTAGTTGGTCACCTAAAATTTGTATTAGGTTTGGAGTCTTTCTCCCATGATGGTGGTTATCTTCTGCTTGAACATCTTAAACAGGACTGGAGAACAGGACCCTAGTTAAATAATTATCAACAGCAAAAAGTAGCAGTACTGGGTTCTGTTGACATTCCATAACACCATATAGCCCTTTCAGTGCCCATGGATACAGAAGGCTGGGGGGTGGAGGGGTTAGTCATTGCTAGTTGTCCTTGTCTGACAAGCACATATCTTTCTAAAAAGTCCCCTACGCAAGTCTCATCCTTTAGTCAGGGAAGGGTAAGAAGAACATTTTTTTCCCTTTGACTTGAGTGGAAATTACTCTTTTTTTTGAAGGACAACCTAGAACAACCTTTCCTTTCAACTACTGTGCTAATTCATCGAAACAGAAGAGTATTCACGTAATATATTTTTTTCTTAGAGAGAACTTAGCTTGACTAAGTTCAGTTGTTTTCCCTTCAGGAGTGTTTTCTTGTTTCATGAGCAAATTCTAAATCATACACAATCTGTTGAATTATTGCTAATCCCTTTCTTCTTCTTCTTTTCTTTTCTACAGGGAACACTGTTAGTAACCTGATTTTCATTCTACCTCCAATCTATGGTGCCATTCAGAGTTACAAAGATGGCCTTGAAAAACGGTATATAATTGCTTATTTGTGCGTTGCAGGTAAGTGATTTTGTTGGCAGCTCACCTGACCTTTTGATTATCAAGATTTTAAAATTCAGGGCTTGCTCTTCCAGACACTGAGGCCATATAAGAAAGACAAGTCAAGTTGCATTTGTTGTAGTTCAGTGGGATTTTCAGTGACTGAAAGAGTTGTGTTTGCCCCATGGAAGATAATGTATGTACACACGCATGCAACATGTTCCAAAGAAAAAATTCCTGTGACTACAGGTAGGATCTTTGGATTTATTGAACTACAAATCCCATAATTCCCTATTCTAGGAGTTCTGCTTGACATAAGACCCTCCTAAACGTGTCTCACGTGGGGGAGAGGTCCTAAACTGGGTAAACTTTGAGGTTTAGCTAGGCCTGTTTAGCTTCCTGTTCTTGTTATGGTTGCCTGTTGGAAAATAAACTGTAACTGTCAACCATCATTGATCTATAAAAGCGTCCATTGCTCAAAATATGTGTATGTGCTTATAAAAATAAATCAAACAAGCAAACAAAAGCATTGTGGCTCCTTAAATACTGGCAAAGTTTTCCACTATGTTTGTGGATTACAATGACGATTTGTAAGTTTTATAATTCATGAAGGCACACACTCTGATAAATCTATTCATCTTTAAAGTGCCACAATATTTTTTATTTTTATGTTTATTATTAGAGATGGGGAATGTAACTCAAACCAAGAGAAATTTTAACTCTATTCTATTATCACCAAACAGTTTCAGAGTACAGTATTTTTTTCCTGCACAGGTGGAAATAATGAGAGCAGGCTTTCCTGGGGCTGGACTGTCCACTCACCTTTCCGCTGCTGCTGCAGGCTCTGCACTCCCTTTCAATCGTTCCAGATCACCCGGTTTGCGGGCCACTCTTTGGCCTGGCAGGGAGGCTTGTTATCTCGCCTCCTGCCAGGGGTGGCTAGCCAACTGTGAGCTCTGGAGCGATAGGAAGGGAGCGCGGAGTCCACAGCAGCAATGAAAGGGTGAGTGGAAAATGGACCCTTGTTATCTCCACCTTTGGGAGAATATATGAATACAAATACCCCCATGTCTATTTATTAGACATGCTGAAACAGACTAACATGGTTCCCTCTTTTAAAAACTGCAGGTTGTTGTAAAATGGAAAAGAGAGGGGTCGTGTATGCCACCTTGGGATCAAGACAAAAATATAAACAAAGAAATAAATGACAAATTTCAACATGCCCCCTTTTCATGCTGCTTTTCAGTTATTGCAGGGAAATTTTAGAAAAAGAGTTTCATATCTTTAAAGAAGAATTAGTTGTTCTCTAGATCAAAGCTGTAGAATTGTGTGTGTTCCCAGATAATCTGTTCCCTCCCTGAGATAAAGCAATCTGATATACAGTATGTGCATATTTTCAAGGGGTAGATGGCAGCTCGGGCACCACTGTGTCCTCGTTGTGTATCTGCCAAACAATCCCTGGCCTCCCTCCAAACTTTGGAGCCAGTGGTTTGGCAAGGATCCCCATGAGACCTGCCCATGTCTTTTCAAGTTGAGAAAGACAGGCTCTCATCGTACATGGCAGAGGTTGCAGCCATCCTTGCCATAGCAAGTGAAATTTTGGAAGACTGACCACATCTCTGTCGTCTTGCTCCTCTCTGCTCCATATGTACTTATGTGCTTTGTGGCATCCCAAAATAACCTCGAGAACCTGGATTTTTAGGCAGCTTTTTAATCCAGCAGCTTCTTGAACCAAAGCGGCTTGATTGAAAAAAAAAATTGCTGCTGAAGCGAAGGTCCAGGAAGCTGCTTGGCTTCAGTAGCAAAGCCTTTCTGTGCACCTTCAGACCATTAGCTGGCTGTACAGCTCAGTAGTTTTGGTCTCTGCCTGTGAAGCTAGAGGTTGGGAGTTCAGTTCCCTCCTGTGAGTAGAGCCAACCTGTGTGGCCTTGGGCAAGCTGCTCAGTCCAAGGGTACCCCCAGAATAGGGGAATGCTGAGCCACTTCTGAGTATTAACCTGTGTGGCCTTGGGAAAGCTGCTCAGTCCCAGGATACCCCCAGAATAGGGGAATGCTGAGCCACTTCTGAGTATCCTGTCCCTGGAAAACCTTAAAAAGTGTTGTCATCAGTGAGAATTGACTTGACAGCACATCATCATCATCAGACCATTGCCCTCCCTATATAAATTGCTCTGTGCAAGATAGTCCAGCTAAGTATTTAGTTCCTGAAAAAAATCCTCGAGGGAATAATTGAATAGGCCTTCTTGTCAAAGGTGAACATAATTCAAAACCCATGCAGTCGCTTTGTAGTACAGGTCATATGGCTCTAAACTAGCCAGGGGAGAGGAGGCCATGCTGTTCCTCTTCTGATCAGGTTTTGTCAGCCCTAATGTGTAAGAACGTGTGAAATTGATTTAAGCAGAGTAAGAATTCCCGAGTAGCACATTACACAGATCTCCTTTTTATCTAGAAATATTGAAGCTTGACACTGGGAACTGGAATATTCACTTACAAGGCAGGGGTGGGCAGTCCCCAGACGTCTGGGTGTTGCGTGTGCCCATCTCTGGACCTTGGAGGGTTGCTTCCCTAGAAGAATTGAAGTAAACTTACTAGGAGATGTCTTTAGTGGCCAAATGTAAAATGAAGATCACACCCCCCCCAACATGATCTAGAGAGCACAAGAGACTTTATGAGCCAGAAATACATAATGTGTGTGTGTGCCATTCTGATACAGGTATCTAACTGAGCATCAAGGGGGGTGTGTGTTTTGCGAGGGAGGAGCTTTGGGGAAACATGGGACTGTGTTGTTGGCAGGGGAAAGGGTTTAGTTTCTTCTTGTCCAATAACACATCTTCCTCCTCTAATACTCGCTTTCTTGGATTCCAGCTGTGGGTTTGGGCTCGTGGTGCTTTCACATGACCCTAAAGTATGAAATGCAGGTTAGTAGCATGAATGGACACAATTTTTATGGGTGTTCCTATATGTTTTGTTCTGAAATGCTTCTTGGTTAGGTGTTCATGTAATTTCTATCCACGGGAGGTGGGGATGGGATTGGTTCTAAGCCCTCACCGTGGATGCTGAAAAACAAAGAATGCTATTTTAATAGCAAATGGCATACATCCAATGGTCTCTAGTTACATCTAGTGGCAAGTTCTAGTAACTTCATAATTAAAAATATTGTGGGGGGATTTTTCTTTTAAGATTTTAAATATTTTCGGACTCTGGATGAGTGAATCAGCAGATACTGATCCCGTGGATAAGGGGGTCCTACTGCATTGCAATTTTACTGTTACAACATTTGCAGCAGACCCTTATAATTGCACACTGAAGGGCAATAAGGTGGTAAGTCAGGCTTGTATCATCCAGTTATCCTAGGTAGGCTGAAATCTGTTATTTTATTCTGTTAAATGGATTCAGTAGATAGCTGCTATCAGTACTTCTGACTATCTAACTAATGGTTAAGTAATGATTGCCATCCATTTTGGTGCTGTTTTACCTCTTGTGAGACCTAAGAATAGCTTGACAGGATGTGTCCTGCTTTGACCTCACCAATCACTTCTCATCCAGCTGTCTGTGATTTTTGACCCACCATTTCCACCAAAAATGGAACCCCTGTGTCAACTTGCTTACCACTTCTTTTATATCAGAAACTGTAAAGGTTGTTTTCCTTTTTTTTGGTTTTTTTTTTTTTTGAAGCTGTTGGATGAGCTGCCTATGATCTACAGCTGTTGTATGTTTGTCTACTGCCTGTAAGTATTTATCGTTGGCGTCTCCTTAGCATCTAAAACCACTTTATTCAAATTTAAATGTTTTTATTGCACATCTAACCCACTGAAAGCATACACCGAACTATTTAGACACATTAGCACATAGAATTTATGCTGAAGAATGTAAATTGTGCAGGATCATCGTGACGGGAACTCGTCCTAACTGAGCCTGCATTTGCATTGCAGCAAAGAAGGAGTCAGCAATATGTATAGTAACATAGGAGTTTGCAGTCCCATGTTGCAGTCTCTGGTGAGCCACTTCTCATGGAAGCCCCCAGATATCATTCAAAAGGGGGTGCTTCTTACATTACGCAAAAGTTACTGTATAGAAGAATATGAGATAGAGATTCAGAAACCCCACTTACCATATTTTTCGCTCCATAAGACGCACCTTTCCATAAGACGCACCAATTTTTTAGGAGAAGAAAACAGGAAAATATAATCTGTTTTCTTCGCTCCATAAGACGCACAGACTTTCCACTCCCCTGTTTTGTGGGGGAAAAGTGTGTCTTATGGTGCGAAAAATACGGTATATGTAGGAGAGCAGGTTGTGTTTGCCTGGCTTTCATCAGAACTGTGTGTGCCGTGTAATTTTGCCAGACCAGAGCCTGTGGCATTGGCTGAGAATTCATCTTGCTAAGAATCCCTGCCTTCTTTTTCAAAAGGAGCAAACCCTTGCCAACATTATGATTCAGTGAGCTCCTTGCCAAGCCCTGTGATTTTGTTTGGCCCCGGCCAGCTCTGTGTTCCATTGACCAGCTGCAGGTCCAAGTAGCACCCGTCCCACTCACCCTCCAGCCCTCTTTACAAACCTGAAAAGGCTCATCAAAGCTTTTGAGTTTTCCTTTATAGCTCCTCTGCCTCCTCTCGTTTGTGTTTGTTCCAGGTACGAATGCTTCAAGTACAAGAAAACCATCAATTACCCTCTCCTGTTTCTACTTATAGCCTACAGCATCGGTGTCACCATAGTAAGGAGTGTTCTGCTGTTTTGTTTTGTTTTGTTTAGAGAAGTGGGGCAGATTCCCGTCTACATACTACCAGCCTTTTGAAGAGTTCTTTTTCCTCCACCCACTGCCTCCTTTCCCATCAGTTTACATACACAGTTGCTCCCCAGGCATACAGTTCCTGATGAGTTAAAGAGGGCTGCAACCACAGATAGCAGAAAATGTTCCTCCTGGCCTCCTGAAACATAAAAAATGGCATGGGAGAAGAACAGAAGAGGTGCTACTGCTCATATTAATAATGCATGCCTTAATGTCCCATCGACTGCACTTTCTGAGTAACTGATGCAAGATCCTTCCTCTCCATTTTAGGCCTGCACTTGGCATACCAGCCTAAATATGTGAAAAGCATTCCTGATCACTGTCACCAGCTGAGCTTTCCCAGTTAGCAAGTTCAGGAGAATGTCTAGACCGGAGGTTCCCAACCTTGGGTCACCTCAGATGTTCTTGGGCTACAACTCTCAGAAATCCTTGCCAACATAGCTAGTGGTGAAAAGGCTTCTGGGAGTTGTAGTCCAAGAACATCTGGGGACCCAAAGTTGGGAGCAGCCGGTCTAGACTGTGTGCTTCCACTCTTGTCTACAAGTGGTTGAAAAATAAAACTTGCCCAGTCAGTTTCCCCATCCACAGTGCCTCTTGTTTTGGTGGAAAGGATCGTGGAAGGAAATTGGGAAGCATACATTGACCTACTGTATCCCTATAATGTGCCAGTTGTTTCAAAAGTACTTCATGCTATTGGTGGTGATAAATGTTTTAGCACTAGAGGTGTCGCATCTGGTTATGTGAACGTGCCACAGCTGTCTTTGAGAATATACGGCAACATTTTACTGATACTTTCTGGGGTAGATACAAAGATACCTCAGTTCCATAGACTTAAAGACGATTTTACCTTTAGTTAGGAGAGCAGACAGCAATCATCCTCATCTTAGAACTGTAGAGGTGGAAGGGATCCTGCGGGTCATCGAGTCCACCCCTTGTCAAGGAGGCACAGTCCAACCTCTGGCTCTGCAGCCAGAGAGCTAAACCACCGAACTAGTCGGCAGCAACACCATAAGCCTATTTTCAGGTCACTAGCTATCCCTTCCTGTGCCAGACATAGGTCACCTGGGCCAGGAGGTGACAACCAACCACCTAAATTTCCCATACTGTCTGCCTATGGTACAAACCTGAAAGATCTGCAAAGGAGTCATTCTTCAGTGGTAGAGCACCATATTTCCTTGTAGAATGTCCTGGTTCAATCCCCGCTATCTCCAACTGAGATTAGGGAGAATTGCTCTGGAGAGCCATTTATGATCAGTTCTATGAATAAAGGTGGAGTCATATTCTTATTCAGCATTAAGAATGGGCAACCTCTTTTTTTCCACTGCTCTATATGTACTGTTCTCTGCTTCTATCCTTTAGGTATACCTGAATTGGAAACAGCCTGTGTTTCATCAGGTAACTATTGTTAGACATTTTTTTACTTGCATTTTATTGGGTGGGTGATATAACTTACCAAGAAGTATCATGCTAGTCAATTTTATTATACCATCCTTCCTTACAGGCATGCTAAAGTGGATTTTGCAATTGTGGACCACCACATGTGCCAAACAAAGTTTTACACACAGATATATATGTTAATTTATTCTATACACATTATGTCATGTACTATCAAGTTACCAGCTGTTGGCAAGTCTAGGAGAATGTCTAAACTGTACTTTGACCCTTGTGAGGAGCACGGTATCATCAAGTGGTTAAACTCGCCCAGACAGTTTCCCCCCATCCACAGTGCCTTGGTTTTGGTGAAAAGGGTAAAATCAGGAGACATTCAAGAGGCAGTTGGACCACCCTCTGTCAGATCTGCTTTGATCTGGATTCCTGCCTTGAGTGGCAGGTTGGACTCAATGGCCTTATTAGACCCCTTCCAACTCCACGATTCTAAGTCACATTCAACTAATAACAACACTAATCAAGTTTTCAAGATGTACGAGATGTTTAAGGGGTGGTTTTACCCCTTCCTCCCCTCACCTCGAGTTTCCATGGCCAAGCGAGGACTTAACTCTGGGACTCCTGAGTCTTAATCTGCTTGTCTCTTGACTGCATGGATCTCAGATCATAAATTATTCTTATATGATTTATTTTTTTTAGCAATACTTTACTTTTCTTTGCAAACATTTGGCCAAGTAATTTATTGTACACTGAGTAAAATGTAGTGGGTAAAAAGAGTCCAGCCTCTGGTCACCCGTTGGTCATTCCTGTTTTGAAGCAGTTCTGTTGAATGCAGTTAATGATTTTGCAGCTATGAAGTAGATATACTGCTGAAGCTACTCAAGTCTAGCTTCACGAACGGACTGGAAGAAATTTTCTTCCAGCAGTTTTCATGGTTGATGTGGTTAATGTTTACCCACCTCCATGTGTGCATGCATGGAGCAGCAACAAAAATGTGCTCATGCTAATATTTATGGTAAATGTTGCAATGTTCCACATTTTTAGACTTTGAGATGAATGCAGGTGCAAAACAAGCAACCCATTTCTTCGGCGCCAGAATGAAGTTGCAATCTTCAGCCCTTTTACAAAGGGAATCAGTTCCAATGGATGTAGTGAAAACCAGATGGTAGTAAATGTGACAGACAGTTGCTTGTGCTGTGAGAAAATAAGTAGATATCTTAGGTGCCTGTTTTTAGGTTTCTAAACACAGAAGCAGTGTAGTGGCTGGATATTTTTCCATCCCTCCTTGCAGCAAAAAATAAATAAATAAATAAGTAAGTAAGTAAGTAAGTAAGTA